TCAGGGCCTGGACATTGTGGAATCAAGATGGATTGGGTGTGTTGGATAATATCCACAAACAAATAATCCTTGGGGCCTGGACATTGTGGAATCAACGAAACCAGTGTGTTTTTTGATGGGGTAACACCTAGCGTCGCCAGGGGCCCAGGGCCTTGGTCGCTGCAGGGGAGGAGCGCTGGTTATGGTACATGGCAGGAGCTCGGGGGCTGTCCTTCCTGACTGCCCCGCTCCCTGATGGTTAGCATGTATGGTTCGGTCGCCTCGACAGCTAGTTCACGGGCGCGAATGTAATCAGTCAAACAGTGTGGTGTGTGGTGTGTGTTGTAAAAGGTTCTTAACCCAGCTTTCTTCTTAATATAATGAAGCACAGCTCTCCTGCATTTTTCGAAAAATAATAATAATAATATCCACAAATTGCCACACTTCCTTAAAAAAACTCTGCCTAAGGTGTGCAACCATTACCTTGCAGTATTAGTAAAGGAAAAAGAACTCAATTATCTCTGAGTTTCAGCACACAACGAAAACCACTGGTTGCGCATACTGCTCAGGGTGAATAATTTCAGCAGGAAAGGTAAGATATATCATGCACTGGAAGGAGGAAAATATATATCCCACTGATGCAATTAGATTTGGCGTAGGGTTTGATTTCCTGCCACAGTTGTGGTTGTGGCTTGCCACACCTTTTCAGCTATGCCCCACTGTCATAGAGTCATCTCTTTGCCAAAATTATTGCCTAAGGTGTGGTGAGCAAATTGTTAGCCACACCCACACCTTAGGTAATTTTTTTTAAGGAAGTATGGCAATGTGTGGATGTTATCCAAACACGCCAAATCCATCTTGTTTGTTAGTTGTTGCCAACCTTAAAGAACTAATTTCTGTGCCAAATGGTGTGCCTGTACCTATTGTGTGGCAAACTCTAGCCAACATCCAATTGATTTCAGGTAGTATCTCGCTGTAGTATTATCATGAACTGGGTTCTACAATATACATGTGATCATAGGTAATAGGAGGGGAAGACAACTTGTTAAAACCTACTCTAATATCTATCTCAAGATATCGAGTACATGCGTTTATGCTAACCATATGAATGTACTGAAGTACAATGATATCAATGAAAGTATGCTAGTTGCTAGCATAAGAATTCCACAATTATTTGTCCACAACATGGAACATACTGCCAGTCAGCCATAACCGGCTAATGAACTATACAAAGCAGAACCACAATATATATCTCAGCAAACTTTTCTAATAATAAAGATCACTCAAGAAATTGAGCTTTTGAGAAATGTCAAAGCAAACAGCCAAGATACATCACCTGCATTGCATAAAGAACCTTTTGAATTGCACCGATTTCTTTTTCAAGGAGGTCTTCTTGTGCAGATAGAATACGAGTGGCTTCAGAGTTCTTCTGCGCTAAAGCCGCTGTCTGCGGAAGAAAGCGATAATAGGTGAAGCTAAATGGAGGCAATTATAGCAGTGCAAGCAAGTTATGGTTTATTCAGGAACAATCACAAATCATCCCAGAAAGATTTGTGTCACTAAGAAGTATGACTGAAACAAATTATTGGTGTTATCTCAAAGAGATGCTTCTTTTTTCCAAAGCAATTTGTGCAAACTGAGAACAGCTGATGATATTGAAAAAGCAAACATAGGTGTCATGCGTATGTAGACCTGCCTTCTCCAAAGAGAAGATGCATAGCTACTAGTATTATTTACAACAATACAAATACACAGAAGAAACAGCCATGCTTTCATGTTACCTCCAGAACAGTTAATCCTGACACAGTTTGCTGCACAGCTTCTCCAAAAAGATAACTGTGGGGAACAAGAAAGAGAAGAAACCAAGCATCTCTATGAACCATTTCAGGTGCTTATTTTCTTACAGGATTATACACATCTAATATTTCTCAGAACTAAGCTAAATATGGTGCAAGCACATGATCATATAGACATACAACATAGACCCGGCAGGTCGTTGAATGAGGCTGTACACCAGCATTGTGAATCAAAAGAAACAGTTGACAAGCAATAACTGATCTAGCAAGGTTGCAGCCAATGTCCTGCTGCGCAATAGCCTGGCGATGTCAAGAAGTGCACAGGTGTAGAACTTTGAGGATTAAACTCAAACACAACTACAATTTCCATTGAACATTTCATTATGGAGTTGCAATGAACTCAACAAAACAAGCACTACAATACCTCAGTGATAGGGTCCCTCAACGTCCTCCGCAACACCCGAAACCTGAGGCCGAGCTTCTCGACGGTCCTCGAGAGCATAGCAACGGCCGCCACCATGCCCCTGACAGTCTCCTCCACTTTCTCCACCCTCCCCGTCAATCCCGGGCGGAGTCGCCCCGACTGCCTCCGCCGTATGAGGCTCCCGATGGCCACCGCGCCCACCAAGAGCACGTACTGCAGGACCACCAGCGGCGGCGGCACAGCGCTGGCGCCAGCCGGCAGGAAGACGAGGCGCGCGGCGCAGACCACCGAGCAGATGGCCGGCGGCGCGAGGCAGAGTAGCTCCGCAGCCGAGAGAAGCACGTCGGGGCCGAAGACGCCGCGGCGACCGCCGAGCCCCGGCTCGCCTGCGAAATGCCCACAGGATTAGCACGGATCGAGGTGTGTGGGGCGGGGGGGGTGGCGGGGCGGGGAGGTGAGTGTGACCGTGGTGCAAGCGAGCCGAGAGTGTGTGAGTGCCGTGGGCATGGGGGGTTACCGACTTACCGGACGCGTGGGCGCGAATCGGCGGAGGCCATCGGGATCGGGGAGATGGCGAGGAGAGGAGCGGCGAGGGGTAAGGAGAGCACAGGAACGGGAGGCGGAAGCGGAGGCGCGCCGCTGGGGAGGAGGAGCTGGCGCGGCGAGGCGCGAGGGGACTGGGATGCGGCAGCAGCATTGGGGTTGGGGGTGATGATGTCGTGGCCGGGGGCGGCCGGGCGGGCGAGGCCACCGGTTGGAAATGAAGGACCTGGTCCTGGAGAGGAGAGGAGAGACCGGACTGGGCCGGCTCCATTGGGCTTTTCTGTGGGCCCAGACTTACGCAAACCAAAGTTAGCCTAGGGGCAATTGGCACTGACAGCATCACATGGTATGGTATCTATCTGGTTCTTCAGCAACGCAACGTCGCAACGCTTCAATCGAATCCATGGATGACTACGAGAACAAAGGATGCTCCACGACCAGAAAGGGTAATACCGATCAAAAAACGAAAAAAAGAAAGGGTAATCGGCAATTCAACGGAGGCTTTACAGGATAGTCCAAGCTAGAAGAAGTGAAGCTGACACCCTTATCAGCCAGAATCACCTCGGCAGGAGCACAACTCTGCAGAAACACGGGACGTGGACAACGAAGAAGGTTGAAGGTAAACTGAACCGGTGCAATGTCTAAGCGATTGATTGACGTTCGGCATATATCAGAAAGAACAACTTGTGCAATTACCATCAACGCACAGCAGCATTCCCTACACTGGGGAGTGAGGTCATGCTCTTCCATGTCATGCACGTCACAGATTCTGCTGGTACTGACCATGTAATTAACGGCTCTGTTCGTTTAAATTTATCAGCCGTATTGTTTCAGTATTTTTCTCACGATAAATCAGCATCAGCATCGATCGTCGTTTTTTCAGCGAGTCGAACAGAGCCAACGATGCCGTTGGGCACATTATGGGTAACCCGTTCCCCTACCCGTAAATTATCCATCCCCGGTGGATAATATTGAATGGGTACAGATAACCCATGGCTAATCCACCGGTACCTGCTTCTCGCGCCGTCCGTCGATAGCGCCATGGAGCAGCAGCAGGGCTCTCCTCGTCGGCTGCGGCAACTTGTCCGGCGCACCGCCTGGGTGCTGATGCTCCTCAAGGCGCATCACGTACCACGCCGCCGGCTGCCTGGCCTCCATCGCCATCACGCTCGGGGACAGAGCGCATCGCCGCATCGCAGCCGGCCAGCCCGATGCTGACGACGTTGACTTCGACGAGGGAGCGTCCGTCCTGCGCCGCCGGCTGCCCGCGTGGCTGTCCTCCATTGCGGTCGCGCTCGTGCTCGTGGGTGCAGTGCCGCGTCGCAGCCGGCCGGTCGCCGACGTCGTCATCTCCGACGAGGCAGCGCTTGTCCCACGCCTCCGCTGTGCAATCTTCTATCGCCCTGTTCCTTTGGCTGGTTTGGGTTATAACTTAGGATTAAAAGTACCGTCGACTGCTTTTGGTTTGAGAGAAAAATGCTGTTTAAATTCGATTAAGCGAACAGACTGTATTTTTTTATTACATTAACTACCGCTATGCAATATTGGCTACAACGAAGAGAATCAGTACAGAGTGTAACGGGAATATCCGCTTTTATCCTACCCATACCCACAGTAGAATGGGTAATCCATACCCTACCCAAACAACGCGGGTATGGGTTTGGATGTGGGCAGTGGGTATCCACTGGCATCGTTACATGTAATGTAATGTAGGCTTCCTTATGAATCATTATGGTGACAATTTCTCCCCACCTCAACAAGTGCGTTTTGTTTTCAGAGGAAATCAAAGCAAAGCTTTTTAAATTCTACAATAAAGCACAACTGTCATGACAAGCGGGTCCAACATCAGGATCAATTTCGTCAGATACTTGCCTCATCGCCACTAACCGGTTCCACGAGATGCCAAGCACCTGTGCAATTTTTGCCATATCTCACGCACAAGGACTCTAGAAGCAAACCGCAGATAATTAGCGACACAAACACAGATATCGCTAGCTACTTCACTAAAAAAATCAGCTACGGAGTACTACTTCACTAAATTAGTCTGCTGAAGCATCCAAAATCATCGCCACCATTCACCATAACTCAAGCTTAACATAAATAAAATCATAAATAAACATAGTTAAAAGAAAATGCTACTGCAAAACAGTACTACCACCATATACGAACTGACTGACTAGCACTACTAGGAGTACATCCCTCCCTGCTAGCATTAGCATCAGCATCAGATCACTAACCGACGGTGTCAATTGCTATTGCTACGAGTCTCCATGGTCCCTCCTGGCCTTCTTCGGCGGCAAGGCACAAGCGGCGGCGACGGTGTCACGGAGCTGGCGCTGCGCGTCCTGGAGCATCCTGGCGTGGCGGGCGTCCGCCTCCTGCCACCCGCGCTCGATCTCCCACTGCACCTCCATGCGCCGCCGCTCCAGCCGCATCACGCCCTCGCCGAAATCCCTCAGCACAGCCGACAGCTGCGTGCCGGCTCCCCCAGCCCCACGCCCAGAGGAGCCGCCGCCGCGTTGGGCCATCTCCACGGCCTCGTTGTCGTCGTCCTTGGCCTTGACCGCCGCCGCCGCCGCCGCCGCCTTGGCCTGGAACGCCTCGTAGGCCACCCTCTTGCGCGGGGGCGCGGTGGAAGGCGTGATGGAAGACGGCGGCAGCTGGTGGAGCTGCAGCTGCGGGTGGCGCGGGGCGAGGCCGGTGCCGAATTCCCGGATGATGCCGTTGATGCTCCGGGTGTTGTTGCGGGGGACGAGCTCTTCCTCTTCCTCTCCTTCCTCCTCCTGCACGTCTTCCTCCTCTTCCTCTTCTTCCTCCTCTTCCTCCTCTTCCTCCTCTTCGTCGCCGTCGGCGGCAGGCGGAGAACCACCCGCGGCCGAGTAGGCGGAGGAGGCGGCGAGGGGCCCCCGTTCGAGGCGATCCATGCGGCGGAAGTAGGGCCAGAGCGAGGTGACGGGGCGGGCGCCCTCGGTGCGGTAGCGCTTGCGGAGCTTCTCGAGCTTGTGGCGGCACTGGGTGCCCGTCTTGCGCTGGGCGACGACCCCCGGGGTGGCGGCGCAGCGGGCGACGACCTCGGCCGCCACCTCCTCCCACTGGTGCGCCTTGAGCTGGCCGCGGCGCAGCGCCGTCCAGCGCTCCTCGTACGCGTCGATGAGGTGCATGGTCTCGACGTGCGACCACGGCTGCGCCGGCGCGCTCTTCCTCTCTAGCGCCGACGGCGGACGCCGCGGCGGGTCGTCGGCCATCATCTGGTCACGGGAGGCTCAGATCTAGATGTGGGGGGCGGGCGGGCGGCGACTAGGGTGGGGGTGAGGACGAGTAGTTGGGAGGCGGGCAGATGATGAGCTGGGGGCGGGGGCGGCGCGGCGGCGGTGGAGGAGGATAAGGCGGGGGCTGGGTCTGGGTGGTGGGCGGTTGGGTTTTTTCTGGGTGGGGGCTGGCTGTGCCATCGCCCGGGCGGGCCGCGGCCGGTGGTGGTGGTTCCGTGGTGGTGCCGGTGTGGTTCACGTGGACGCGAGAGGCGCGCGGGCGCGGTGGATGCCACTGCCACTCTGCCAGTGCCGCGCGCTAGCCCTAGCGAGGCAGCCGCGGCCGCGTGGTCCCTCCTCTCCCCTCACGCCGCTGTGCTGTGCATCGCCAGCGGCCGCGGCCTCTCCTGCTGCCTGTGTCGCTTTCGATGACCGACCGGTGGAGCCGGGCGGGGGCAGGGCCCGATCGTCAGTCCCGGGAGCCCCGAGCGGGGGCAGGGGAGGAGCGGAGCGGAGGCTCGCTTCGCTCGCACGCAAACGAGTCGCGGAAAGGGCTTGCTCGGGCTGCGGCGGCCGGGGCCACGGGCCCGTTGGTTTGGCACGTTGGCTGGCCCTCTGCCGGAGCGGTCACCGCCTCCGCGCCACGCCTCACCCTCACCGGGGTTCAGCTGGCGCACGCGAATTTGGCATGACGTGTGCGCAATGGTCGACTCTGAAGCCATGGAAGGGCCCGTGTTGGGTGATGATGGCACCGGCCCAACTTTGGAAGGACAGCCGGACAGGGGACTGGGGGAGAGAGGCCTACTGCTCCAACAGTCCTAAAACACGAAGATTTCGTCAACTGTTCACATCCTGCCTTTTTCTATAAAAGTGAACTGATTTCTGCGAATTTTCTGCACAATTCCTGTGTTCTAAAAATGCCCTGTCCGATGATTCCACTACATCAAAGACTCCACGCTCAAGTAATAACAACAGTGTAACAACAGTGTAGTACATTTCAGTTGTTCTTATCAGTTTTGCCATCACTGTTGCCCAGACATGACATAGGTTGATGTAGTCAAATGCCTCTCTCTAGATAACTAATGGTAGTGTCGGATACCATAAAAAGAGGTACCCTAAGCAAGAACTGAAAAGATTGCTTAAAACCTCGCAAATATCAAAGCCAAAGGACAATCACAGGGTCTCGGCCGATTCTTCGACTCGCCTGAAGCCCACATCGCAACGACTCTCCGCCTCGCCGAGGCCCTCTCGTGCCGAGGCTCCGCTCCGCAAGGCCTCGGACGGGTTACCGATTCTCCGATTCGCCCGAGGCCCCGCGAGTGAAGCCTCGAACGAAGTACCGATTCTCCGACTCGCTCGAGGCCGGCTCGGCAACAACCTCGTCGCCTCCACCTCGACCGACTTCTCTGACAAAACATCACGCGTCCAACCACTCCCGCGACATCAGCCGCACGTGGGCGCAGTACAACAAGGTGGCCGACGGGACGTGAGACAGGACGGAACAGGGGTTACTGGCCACTGTGCTCAGCACTGCACCCATGTCTGGCGCCCGTACTGCACTGTAACACCTCGGTGTTAAGCATGCATTAACATTTTGCAAATCATGAGCATAATCATTATTATGCATGCATACGCATGACATGAAATATAGAATGGAAACATACTAATGAAACATGTATGTGGCATAGTTTTGTTTTACTAGATTGGGTGCTACGTTTGTTTTGCCATGTGTGCATGAAACGTGTGAAACATGACTATGAAACAAATGTAACATTTCAATTGTTTTTCATTGTTTCAGTACATACAGTGCTTGATTCTTGTGTGACCAATGTGTGATGTGGCTAATAATTCTCTTAAACAACTTAGTGACACCTAGAATGTCATTTGGAACAATGTTCATGTTGATCATATTGCCTAATTACACTTCCAAGTAATAGTTTGACTTGTGTTGACCCCTGGAGCTCTATTGTTTGACTGTTTAAGAAGTACAGCTTAGAGTGTTTGCATGTTTGAGCAACCTAAAACAAAGTTGTAGCAAATTATATAAGGAACAAATTTTGTTTAGAGGTCAAGTCATGAAAACGTGCACAACATGCTCAAAAAGTTCCCACAAGTCAGTTTTGGGGGTAATTTGGTGACTTAGAATTTTTCTAAGTCTTGGGACTGATTTTTAGTTTCATGTACCGATGTTTGGAGCCCTGTATCTCCCTAACCAGGCCGAACCAGCTCAAGTTCCAATTGGAAAAGTTGTAGTCCTCACTTAGATCTCCAACTTTGTCAACTACGCCAAGAGCCAGATCAGCACGGTTTAGGAGTTATAGATCGACGAAAACTCGCTGTCAGGCCGGTTGATTGCTTTGCTGATCGAACTATATCGACAGCTACAGTGGCTGACCTTTTTAGAACATCATCACCACGTGTATGCCGTGCGTCGCCGTCGTCCTGAGCAGCCAGGCCACGTCGGGCCTCGGCGTGGCATTTCATCCCACAGCGCTCGCACGTGACTCGTCCGCGCTCGCATTCCATTTTCCTGCTCCTCCCTTCGCCTTCGCAGCAATGCAGCAGCCGCAGCAGACCACCACCGTGTCGCCGTCGGCGTTGCCCGCACTAGCTCACCCCGCGTTGATCTTTCGCCACCGCAGTAGAGCCACCGTGATCCCACTGTCTCACCGCGACCACATTGACTAGCTAGGAGCGCTCGGTAAGTCGTCTCGCCGCGCGGACCTCGCCGGTGTTCCGCCGCCGAGCCCCGTCGTCGTGGCCAGGACACCTCCGTCCGCCATCCGCCGTGATAGCTTGTGCTCTAGCGTCACCGTAGTTGGTAGAGTCTTGGCCAAGCCATAGATCGAGCTCTCGTGGCTAGCTCCGGTGCCTCGCCGTCGTGCCGCGCCACCGAGCCGCCATGGCCGGCGACGAGCCCCCTTCCGTGCACCTCTAGGCTAACCACCGGTATGGTTCGATGCGGGTGAGTGAGGTGAACACTTTGGTGGGGTCGGGTTTGCCGGAGAAGCCGTCGTCGGTGAGCTCCGTCGATTCCCCGTCGAGCAGCATCATGACTCTGTTTTAGTGCCGCTGACAGGCGGGGTCCACTGACGTGTGGGTCCCGAGCGTCAGTGACTCGTCTTCTGAAAGCTAGTGCATTTGTTCAGATTTGAATGTCGTTTTGTGAATTTTGTATCTCCATTTTGGTAGATCCAAATGGTGTGATTCCAATTTTGGTAGAATCACAGTGAAGTCTAGTATTTAAGAAAAATAGGACATGAGCACTTGAAGTGGAAATTTTGGATGAATAAAATAGGATCTTGAAACGTGTTTTTAAATGCATGCAAACTAGTTTAAATTATATCTTGAGTTTCTGTACTCCAAAAATTATGAAATTTTGTGGGTAAGCTATTCTTGCTTAGTAGAAGCTCTGGTAAAAATTTTAGAGTCATTTCATGTATGGTTTTTGAGTTATAGATTTTCCTTTCATCATTGATTGATACTTGTATGAATTTTTGTAAATTATCTAGGAATCCTATGACCATGAAATTTTGTGGGGAGTATATCAGTACCTTAAGGATGTTAAGAAAAATATGAAATCTATTTCTTGACACTTTTCACTAAGGTTTCCTATTTATGCCTTTTTAAGCAATTATGCCGTATCATTTTTGTGTAGGCTATTTTACTTATCCAAATGCCATGAAAATTTTATGGTAGTCTACTTAGAGTAGTACTATGCTACTGTAATTTTCTCAGATTTTTATGAGCACCAAAAATATATGTTGCTGTTGTAGCCCTAGTTTAAAATGAAATCAAATAATCTTCTTTAATGCATGTTTAGTTAATAATGTTTGCCTTGGTGTATCTTTGAAGCATCTTAGCTTGCTGTGGTGACTTGACATGTTAGTACAGTGGTTGTAGTAGTAGAATAGTAGTGCATGTTCTTGGATGATGTTGGCTACCTTGTAGAAGAGCTTTACTTCTACTATGTCCAATAAAGTTAAACATATTCATCTACATTTCATGCATCATGATCATTACATGTCATCTCTCCGATGCACCTATGCATTAGCACTTATACATCTGCATCATATAGGATCGCAGGAGGAGTTGCTAGTAGTAGTGCAGGAAAAGCAGACCGGGACAGATCCACAAGAAGTCCAGGCACAGGAGGTGCTAGAGGAAGAGGAGCCAGGAGAGGATTTGCCCGAGTGCGTGGATCATCAACCTAGTTCGTTCGAACGAGGCAAGTCCCGGAGCATTCTAAGTCTCCTACTTTATAAAAGCAATTCTTTCTATATATATGAGTTTATATATTGTTGCATTAAGTTGTAGACGTTGATTGAAACCGTTGATGCATTTATTACTATCCTTGCCTACCTTATTACCTTTTACCCTATTAGGTCAGGATCGAATAACTGCTTAGCCTTGCTTAGACCAGTAGCGGTCGGTGATATCCGGTCACCTACATTATAGGTGGTTACTGGAAGAATTTAGCTATAGAAAGAATGATATCCTGAAATTAACCATGTGTGATGGATAATTAGAGACCGGACGGAAAAAGTTGGAGGCAACCAGACCGGGTTCTGGGGTGCTGTTAGTTTCCGTCTGTGTCGATTAAGGACCGATCGTTGCTCATCCCTCTTGTCATGTTGAACGCATGCCTCACATTTAGCTGGCCGAATAAAGTACTTTTCGACCGCGAAGCTAGTGACACTTTTTCGAGCCGGGATAAACTCGGATGCGCAGACTGATGTTGAAGAGGGTATGACGGGGACGCGAAGAGTGAGCCCAAGGTGCGTCCTGGCAGTCGGGCGGTCCCTGGGTAGTGCGGTCCGTGACTGTTATCCCGCGGCTACTTGGAAAGTGTCATTGGTGATCTAAGCGATCCTGACGGGGGAAGCATGGTTTGTGTGAGGAATAAATCACCAGCTGGTTAGGAATCGATTCGAATCGCCATCGCTCCTGGACAGTGAGCACTTGACTCGAGCTACGGCATCGTAGTAATTATTATGGAA